TCTGAACGCAAGTGTGAGTGCACCTTGTGCCCTGCGTGGGTGAGGGTGAGTGTGTCACTGCATCTCGTGTGTGCTTCTGTGTGCATCACTGTGTGAGTGAGACCATGTGTCTGATTTTGTGTCCAGGAGATGTGGGTGAGTGTACATGTGTCCGTGATTGTGTGTCCAGAGAGTGGGTGATGTTCTGCGGCGGAAAGCGCGCCGGCCAGGACCCTTTGCCCTCAGTTCCCAGAACAGGGCAGGTGCGGAGCAGCGAATCCCGGGGCGCCCCTTACCTCCATAATAGGTGTACGGGGTGGACCCCAACATCTCAGACTCGTCCAAGCGGCCGCCCAGCGGACGCATGCGCCGCGGACTCCGGAAGAAGGCGTGCCTCCGGGCGCCCAGGGCGCTCAACTGTTTCATCCGGCGTTCTTTGGACCTTCGGTTCTGAAACCACACCTGGGACAGAGGAGGGGGCTGTGAGCTAGGGATCAGAGTGTCCTCTCCTCCCTCTCCTCCCTTCTCCTCCCTTCCCTGCCTGGGCTGCCCCCGCTGGGTCCTTGCGCCTTTTCCGCACCAGGACTCCCTCGAGGCGGGGCCGGGACGGATTAGGCCGGGAGGGGTGGAGAGGGGCTTCGGCGAACCAGCCAAGGGTGAAGGATTTCGCGGACCCGTGGGGCGACTCATAAAGACTTGGGCTTCCTGGTCCTCGGCTCGCCTGACGGCTCTATAAAGGCCTCCCTTCCGCACGACTCTCGCCTCGGCCCCTCGGCTCCGGAGCCAGCCTCTGGCCGTTTGTCTGCCCGCGCTTCGGCGCAGGGAGGGAGGGGGCATCGCCTCTTTCTCTGCTCGAAAGGTGGGAGTTAAAGGGGGATCCCGGATCCCAGAGAGTCTTACAAGCTTCCTTGAGCGAGGTGGGGGGCGGAATTCAGAGAGGTAAAGTGACCCGGCCCCAAATCGCACCACCAGGAAGACAGCAGGGCTACATGGAGTCTTTCGGCTCACAGTCCCTGACCTCGGGCGAGTGCCCTAATCGGGCTTACAGTCTGCTCCCAGACCAGAACCAGGCGCGCTCGTAGCCAAGGAAGCTTGGCGGGAGACTCCTCTGAGGCTCCCGGCTCCCGGGCCTGCGGGCCTAAGGAGCTGTGCCCGCCCCGGACCGCACCTGGATAACGCGCATGTTGAGTCCGGTCTCCTGCGCCAGCTGCTCGCGGATGTGGCGCGTGGGCTTGGGCGTGGCGGCGAAGGCAGCCTTGAGCGTCTCCAGCTGCTTGGCCTTTATGGTGGTGCGCGGGCCGCGCCGCTTGGTGCCCGAGTTCTGCTCCTCGTTCTCGTTGTTGGCCGTCTCCTTGTCTGACGAGGTCGAGTTGTCCGTCTCCTTGGGATCGTCCTGCAGTGCGTCCTGGAGGTCCGGGGACAAACTGCGGTCCGTACAGGATGATACTGCGGGCGGACGGATCGGGAAGGGGACAGAGGCGTCAGCGACGACCAGACGCCTCTTCAATCCAGTGGCGGGTTCACGCCGGCCCAGGCTACGGCCGGTCCCTCTGGATTCCCTCCCAAACCTGCGACAGCCCCTCCCCCAGGGACCCGGTGCCCGCCCACTCTCTCCAGGAGGGGCTGGGCCTTTGCATGGGCGCTTCTTAAGCCCTCTCCGCGCGTCTCAGCTAGTACCTGGGTAAGGGTAGGGGGAGGCGTACCCTCTGGAGAACTCCCACCTTCAAGGAGAGGGGATGAGGAGGGCATAGATTCCCTTGGGGCTTGGATCTTCCTCTCACTTCCCTCCTCTCTCCAGACCTCAATTAATGTCCTCCCAGTGCATCTAGAAATTACCTGGAGCTCAAATGACACAAGGGGGAATTGTGCGCTTCCAAATTAGGGGAGGAGGGCAACTTGGAAAATGCTCCTGAATTGAAGGAGGGTGGGGAAGATCTGGCAGCTCTCAGATCCCCTGTAAAACTGCTCCAAAGCCACTTCTCTTTTCTAGCCTCTAATCCCCTTGCCTTGCCCTAGAACTGCCTGGGGCTGATGAGCTCCAAGCTCAGCACAGACAGCATACCAGGGGCCAAGTAGGGAGTGCCAGGCTGGGCACGGTGGGAGGGTGCTAAGGCCTAAGGCTAGTGAGGGGCCCAGGCTTCATACCTGAGTTGAGGCTGCCCTCCTTGAGGCTGGATGAGCTCAGGTAGTCGTCTTTGCACACGAACTTGTTCTCGTCGATGACGTAGAGCTCCTCGCCAGTGGACAGCTGCTTGTTACACACCATGCAGGTGAAACAGTTGAGGTGAAAGACTTTGCTCCGGGCCTTGCGCACCAGGTCACTGGGCGAGATGCCTTGCGCGCAGCCAGCGCATTTGGTGCCAAAGCGCCTGTGGACACAAGGTGCCCATCACTGCGGGGTGGGACTGTATCCAGTCCTTCCCAGTCCCTGACCTCTTCCCACCCGACCTGGCTTCTGTGAAGTCTCCATTTCCATATCTGTTAAACGGAACCCCAATCCTGAGTGCTCTGGCCAGAGCAGGAGACTGGGACAAATGTTCTGAGCTGTTTTTGGGACTGGGACTGCCATGCCTCCACTGGGGTTTTTGAGATTCTCCTGGGCTGGGAAGGGGTGAGCAGTGGGTGCAGCCTTCAGCCAAGAAGAGAGCCCAGAGCACCCCAAGATGTCCTTCCCCAAATCCAACCCCTGCCAGGCCTGCCTGGGCTGCTCCAGGCAAACTCAGAGTCCATGAATGATTTGAAGCCAGGAGGGGAGAATTTGGGCCACTTGGTGGCTTTGCCTCCTGGATCCTTTCTAGTCTGCTGGTGCCTAGCTAGGGCCAATCTGCCTGGCTGGCTGAGCCTAGCCGTGAGGCAGAGAGCCTTTCTCCTAGGCTGGAAGGAGGAAGCAGAAAGGAGGGAACCTTCCACTGATTTCCAGTACCAATGGAGAGACTTTCCAATCTACCGCTCTGGGACCCGCTGGAGCTAATCAGGAGCTGTGGACAGCAGGGCCTCATAGTGACGGACCCTAGAGAGCAGGGACGAATTTCAGCCCCCCTAAACCTCTGGCCTGGCAGGCAGCAGGGGAATGTGAATGCAGGACAATCATAGACCCTGCAAGGCCAGGAGAGGAATCTCTCAAATCCCCCCTTTCCCGCGTTCCTGATCTCATTCCTTTTCTTTCTTCTTTGAGCTCAGGGAGAAAGTCAGCCTCCCCCGAAATGGGAGATGGGTGAGGCTTAGGTTGGGGGTGGGGTGGGGGAGGACCCAGGACTCTGGGGACCCTGCATCTACTCACACCCATGTCTCTAAACAGGGTGAATTTGGGTGACATTGATGTAGTGAGGGCATTAGAAGCCATAAGTCACTTTTGGCCTTATCCGGCAGCGTAATTGGCCATATGCACCTTATCAAAAATCATTAGGCGCTTTGCAAGCACTGCTACATTAGGGGCATCGGGCCTCCGGGTCCAGGGAGTTTACACGTGTAAAGGAGCGGCTGACATTTTCTCCTATTCAAATTCCCAGTGCGAAGTCGCTGGGGCCGGCAGGCTGCCTTTCTCTATGGCGTGTTTCACGCCCCCCTTCCTCAGCGCGGGGAATTCCTGTTCACAAAGCCGGCTCTGGGTGCCCAGGGGAAACAGGCAGGGCTCAGCTGCCCCAAACTCTACTGGCTTCCAGACTGGGGAAACTGAGGCCCAGAGACGTGATCTGCCCTGGCCAGCCAGGGGGCCCACAGGGGTGGGGGTGCTGGGGAGGTGCCACAGCTCAGTCTAGACCCCAGAGGTCCTGATTCTCAGCCTCGATTTCGTTTCTGCTTTTCAACATGGGAAATGTTTAAGGGGTTGGGACGTGATGGGGGTGGGGAGGTTCCCTCCTCCCGTCACCAGGGGAGACCTTCCTCGCTGGGCCCCTTCCGGAGCTGCGAAGTTTCTGTTTGGGATTGCGGGTCGATGGGCTCACACATTCTGCCTGGAGTGAGAAGCCTCCAGGCGTCTCTAACTCAGGCAAAAATCTTTCCTCTCTCTCGGGACAGGGATTGAAGCTTCTGTCTTGGGGTTGCAGCCGCTTGGAAGGGGCGGAGAGGGATAGAGAGCAAGTTTGTCAGGGCTTCCTCCCTCTGCCCCGCCAGCGCTCTGAGCCGGCCTCGAGCCAACGTGAGGCAGCGAAGCAGCGTCCTTCTTCCTCCGCCTGGGCTCGGGACCTTTCCTGTACCGAGGACAAGAGGAGAGCAAAGTGCTGCCCGCTCCCCATCTAAGCTTATGATCCGGGGAGGCTGGGATGGGTATGGGGGTCTCCCCTTCCCCAGCTCCCCAGTGGAGCGCGCGCAGGGTGGGCGCGCAGGCAGCAGCGCGGCGCGGCCTCTTACCTGAAGAAGTCATTTTTGCAGTAGAGCTTGCCCTCGCGCGAGAAGCACTTCTCCGAGAGATTGGTTTTGCACTCGCAGCACTGAACACATTTGATGTGCCACGCGCGGTCCAGCACGTTCAGCAGAAAGCGGTCGAGGATGGGCCGCTCGCAACCGGCACAGTGCACCATCATAGCCCCGTGCCCCGGCGGCTTCAGCCGCCTTGCCCTCCCTTTGGGCCCCTGGCCCTCGGGCCTGCCGGGCCCTCCGCTGCCCTTCGCCTCTTGTCTCAGCAGCTGCAGGGCGAGTCCGGTCCGGACCAAGACTCAGCCGGTCAAGTCCTTGGGCAATCGCTGGCCTGGCGCTGGGCTGCCGGGAGTGGGATGGTGGGGGTGGGGGTGGCGTTCACAACCTCATGCCACCGGCCGCACGCCCCGGCGCCTGTTCCGGGCTTCCCCAGGTATCTCGGGTGGCTGCTGGCCTCGGCGCTGCGGAGCGGCTTTCCCCGGTGGCGGAGGCGCCGGCACTTTCCCCCACTTTCAAGCGGTCCGGATCCTCATCTTTGTCTGGTCGCCGCGTAATTCGCGCATCCTTATTCAGATTTGGTGACGTGGCGCGGCACGTAGGGGGCCCAGCGGCCAATGGGCGCACCGTGGCCATGGCAACCTCTTAAATTTATAGCATATCTAAATTGGCTACAGCGTTGCGGTCCGGACAGAGCAAAAAAAACAAGGCATCAGTATTGTTGAGTATTAGCTTGTACCTGGTTCGGAGGCTAAGTAAGTATTTACCTTCCAGTTTGGGGCTGACGGGGCGGGGGCCGCGCGATACGAAAACTGCGTCTCTCTTCCTCTCTTTTTCTCCTCACAAATATTTGGGGATCACGGGTTCCAAGGCCTAGTCCGGGAGGTACCCCTGCCCCCTTTACCATCCCTAGAACTTGCAGAAGTTGCCCCACGCCCCACACCTACCTCCCCTTCTCCAGCCCAGGCAGCCCAGATTGGATTCCCCTACCCCCGCGCCCCGTCTGCGCTCTGAAGCTGCGTCAGCGCGGTTCTCTGAGCTCCTGGAGCCGGCCCCGGCTTCTTTTTGTCATACACGGGGCTGGGGCCCAGTCGGGCCTTTCTCATGGAGAGAGCTAGTGGAGGCCGCGCGACCTGGGTAGGTTTTCCTGCCAGGCCACCGAGCGCAGGCCCAGGCCCAGGGTGGGGAGGCGGGGGAGGAGGAGGGGTGCAGTCTGGCCTGGTCCCGAACTCCAGAGTTTCAGGCCTGAGTACGCTGCTCACGGGGCTCTGAGGGAGATGTGGACAGGGGGAGATTGAGGGTGGACGGGTCTTCCCGCAGACAGCTCGGAGGTGGCACTCACCACGTCTCTCCTTTCCTCGCTGCACCTTCCAGATTCCAGGTCAGCCTATGGGCACTGTGGTGAGTGGGTCGTACGGCTGAGGCGGGGGACACCAGCGACTATGAAAACGCTGTTTGCATTCACGCCGTGCGGGCTGGGTGTGCAAGTTTGTCCCCTCATTGGGCGCAGGAGAAGCGGCGCACGTGTGTTCCGTGCTCGGCAGGGCTCCCAGAGTGTGAGCAGAGAGTGTGTGTGTGTTAAGGAGCGGGGTGGTGCTGGCAGGTGTGTGTGAGGAGGGGGTGTGTGGGTCTGAGGAGGAGAAGGGACCAGGCCTCCTCTCCCTCGGGGCCAGCGTGGCCACCAGGGCTCCAAGTTGGGGAGGCCAAGAATGGGCAACCAGGATTTTCGTTTCGCTTCTGGAAAGGGGGCTGAGGGAGTAGGGCCTGGGACCAAGGGCTGGAGCTAGAGGGGTTTGTGCCAACACTTGGCTGTGAACGTTTGTTTGGGTGTATTTCCTGAGCTTGTTAGTGTATACTTGCTGTTTGAGAATTCCATTTTTGCATCTGTTTATTGCATTAGTACCATCAATCCTGTGAGTACATTTCTGCGTGTGCGTTTTTGTGTGTGCAGATTCGTGTGTTTGTAATTGCGTATGGTCCTGCTAATGTTTGTGTTTATCACCATGTGCACTTTTATTTTTGTTGGTCTGTGCCTATGTGTGTGTGTTTATTTTAGGACGCAAAAATGTGAGGATGTTTTCATGTGTACGTGTGCATTAACGTAAGCACATTTGTGTCTGTGTTTGCAAGCATTGATGTGAAGGTGTACTTTTAAAAACCTGAATGTGTGTGTTTGTGTGTAGGTGAGGGCGTGCATACTTGAGACCCTGTGTATAGGAGACTGAGCTGGGTTGGTTTTGTCTGTGAGTGCAGAATTTTGAAGAGCTATGTTTGTGTGCCAGTCGCTGTGTGTGTGTGCCTGCAAATGTGTGTATTTGTGCAAACAGTAGTTTTTTGTTTATGCAACTCCTGTAGGCTGTGTGTGTGTGTGTGTGTGTGTGTGTGTGTGTGTGTGTGACGGAGGGGGGGGCGGTTATGCTTGTATTTGTGTTTGTGTGTGTACTCCTAGCAGCGCTTACCTTTGTGGATTTGGAGGTTGAGATAACAGGATTTGTGGATGCCTGTGTTGGGGCTCAGGAATGCCCACTTGTCCCCGTTCCTCTTCAGGTCTAGCACTGTCCCCCACAGTTATCTAGGGGAGGTGATCTTGCTAGGGACAGGGAATTGGTGAGTGCTGGTTACAGAGTGGAGCATTGACTCACCAGCCAGCCCGCTGGAAAAGGAATCCCTAACCCGGACAACTTCTGCTTGTTGGTGCTGTTACCTGACCCTCTAGCTTGTCAGGGGACAGGCATCTACAGAGCATAGTAGTGAGCCTGGTTAGAGCCCAGCTCAACCAGGAACAGGCAGGATGAATCTCACTTGGTCTCCTAGGCTCGGCCATGAGAGACTTCAAATGGAACCGCAGTTTCCGGCAGCGCTTGGCTCTGCCCGCCTGGGCTTAAAGGATACTTGAGCTCTGGCAGGGCAGAGCTGGAAAGAAATAAGAACCCGGAGAGGAGAGAGGTGCTCAGGCTCCCGGCAGAGGTGAATCATGCTGCCTTCTCCGTCTTTGTCTCACTGGGCTTTTTCTGTGTCTCCCGAGTTCTTGCCACATGTCTGTTTTCCTTTCTGTCTCCGTTTTTCTCTTGTGCTCAGAGTCTGTTCTCTTTCTGTTTCGTTTTCCTTTGGTTCTCCCTTGCTTTCTTTCTCCATTTCTCTCTCTCTCTCTCTCTCTCTCTTTTTTTTTGTTCTCCTCTCCTGGTCTCTCTGCTGGAGCTTCCAAATCCAGCATGCCACTCAGCGCTGAGATGAGTGCTCCTTACTGTGCATCCTGCAGATTTTGGGATATGGGGGGAACACTTGCACCCCTGCCACGTGCTCCGTGGTCATTAAAAACCTCCATCCAACCACTTTCTTCTCTGCTCCAGACTAGGCACACTGAGCCCATTCTCCCCCAAACCCCACAAAATATCCAAAGTGCCCTGTGTGGTGTGTGTTTCCAGCCCAGGCTTTGCGCACCCACTGGTGGTGTCAGGGGGCCTGTGTACTCAGCTCTATCTGAATCTCGGACAGACCCACTGGTCCTCATCTCCCAGAGAGCTTCAAGGAGTAGCCAAGCCCCAGCCACCATGTGACCAGGCCAGGGAGGTCGTAGGAAGAGGGAACAAACGACAGTAGCCCTGAGTAGGGATAAGTGTGGGTTACCTGGGGCTGAATATTTGGTTGCAGGAGATGAGGACTCTGTTTCCAGAAGCCCTGGTCTGACCTTCCATCTCTTGTAGGGGAACTTACCGATCCTGCCCTTGTTGCAGCCCCCCAGAGTTGCGTTGGGGGCCTCACCCTCAGTACAGCTCAGCCCCACTTCCAGAACTCCCTGGACCTGGGCTACCAAGCTGCCCAGAACCCACTCGGCCTTTTCTAGCCCACCACCTTCCCCGGTGCACAGCATCGGAAAATGCCAGCAGACCAGCTATTAGACGCATCCCACCCTAACAGCGCTAACAGATGGCGACCAGGCAGCGAAATCCCCTCCTATATGTAACTAATAAACCGCTTGTGTCTTAACAGGGTAATGCATGGAGATGCAATGTCACTTATACAAGATGTTGATGGAATTTACTATATAAAAATCTTCCTCCTAGAGTAAAGAGTATCAACATTACAACTCGACAGACGGCGGCGGGATAAGTAAAACAGACAAAAGACAAACAAGATAATAATCTGTTTCCAATCACTTAAGCCCTGTAGAGTTAGTAATATGCGGTTTGCATATTCCCCCTTGAGTTCGGTAATTAATTACGGGCGAGGAGGCGCACACTAGCCTGGGGTGGGAGTTTTGAGGAGCGCTGAGCTGGGGCGTGGGTGATACATCTCTTGAGTTCTCCAGCTCGGGACACGGGCAGCGGCCGGAATGAGGGCTCTTCCGGACTTTTGGAGCTGACCCTCCCGCGGGTTGAAGAGGTCTTTTCAGTTGCACCTCCCTATTCCTCACCGGAAAGTCTCCGGCCTGGGAGATTCTGCAGCCAAGCAGGAAAGGGGGTCTTCTCTGGCAGCCAGTCCCTCTCCTGGCTCCTCTTAAGGCATCTCCTCTGTTCGAACGGCCGGGAGTGGCACCCTTTATTGGGAAACGCGCGCGCTGGGGGCCCGGGTGACTGGGGGGACCGGAGAGGCGAGCGCTTTGCCCGCTTCTCTTGGTGGCATCTTGTGCGACCCAGCCCGTTCTCTCCCGACTTCGATCATTACCGCTCCCACCCCCAACACGCACACTCCCCCCACCCCACCCCCAAGAGCCAGCGCGGCTTTAACATTAAACAAACGCAGCGAGTGCCTCTGAGCTGCGCTCTCGGCCGGGTCTGCGCGGCGGCGGCGGCGTTACAAATTGTAAATTTAAATTGCTCGCCGGATTCATTACCTCCCCTCTTTGATTTCAGCCAGCCGTGAAAAATTATACTGGTGTACCACTGAGAAACTGTTTTGCCGCAAAGAGCCTACGCCTAATCACTGGCTTTCTCCCTCCGACAAAAGTGTAATTATTTTGTTTGGGGTGTAAATATAGGCCGCGCCTCGCATACACACTCAGCGTCCCGCAGCGCCGCAGAGCACCGCCCGCCGCCGGAAGGAATCGGGCCCCCGAGTAGGAGCGGGCGTGAAGGCTGGGCCCCGCCGCCTGGAGGCGGGAGGAGAGCGGCTGGTGTGGCGCTCTGGCGAGAACCAGCGAGCCCAGCCTCTGCCCTCCGCAGTTCGGGTTTGCCCGAGGACTTCGGGACCGTGAGCTCTCAGGCGGGCCAGAGAGGACGCCGGCGGGGCGCAACGGGTGCTCAGGCCTAGACATCCGGGCAGGGATGCGAGAGGGATGGCGGGGGTGGGAGTGGGGTGGGTGGGGTGCGAGTGGTGAATTTTCTGGGGAACCCTTGGGGGATGGCCGGCTGAGAGCGACCCGGAGCCCAGGCAGGGAGAGTGTCCTGGCCTGCGTGGAACCCTGGGAGGCGGGGACGTCGTGGCTGGTGTGCCCCACTGGCGCTGGGCCGTGGACTGCTTGGTCTCCAGAACATCTCTGCGGGGCGCAGGGCCTTCCTGTCAGTTGAATCGTGCTCGGCTTAATTAACGGTCTTGTTAACTGGGCAGGCCCGACCCGGGACGTTTAATCAAAAAGGCAAGGAATTCCTCCTCTCCCTCCCTTCTCTCCTCCTTCCCTCCTTCCCTTCCTCCCTCCCTCCCTCCCTCCCTTCCTCCCTCCCTCCCCCTTTCCTTTCCTTTTCCTTTTATTTCCTTTTTCCCTTCCTTTCTCCCTTCCTTCCCTCCCTCCCTTCCTCTCTTTTTCTCTTTCTTCCTTCCTTCCTTTCTTTTTTCTCTCCTTCCTTCCTTTCTTTTTTCTCCCCTCCCTCCCTCCCTCCCTCCCTTCCTTCCTTCCTTCCTTCCTTCCTTCCTTCCTTCCTTCCTTCCTTCCTTTCCTCCCTCCCTCCCTCCCTCCCTCCCTCCCTCCCTCCCTCCCTCCCTTCTTCCTTCCTTTGGAGAGCTGTAGGAAGTGGGAATTAAACAATGGCATCCCCCACCAAGTTTACTCCCTGCCCAATCTTCCTCTGCATTCACCCCCCAGCACTGAAAAGCAGGGCTCTGAGTCTAAACTCAACCCCAGTCCAATATCTGGGCTGGAACTTTAAGGGGCCTGCCTGTGGGATCCAGCAGGGGTGGGCCAACACTGAGTCAGACTTCTGGGGCTGTAGCATCAGGGGCCCCAGCGACTGGAAGTCCACTGGGCCTACTACCCCTCGGGGGACAGGCCCTGGACCCTGCGGTTGGAGCAAGTGGAGGGTTGGAGCAAATGGAGGTTGGGCAGTGGCTGAGATCCAGCCTCCAAGTGAGTGAGTGCACTGGTGAGTGCCGGCCAGCTCAGAGGTCCCTCTGGAGCTGCAGTGGGGCGTGGGTTTCCCTCGTTCCTTACTGCAAGCCCCTCTCCTGGAATACACCCTTCCCCCAGAGGTCCCACACCTTGGGCTATCTGGCAAGCAAAAACAGGCTGCCTTCTTCTGCTAGGTGCTCCTTCCCTGGGCAAAACACACTCAGTTGCTGGGAGGGTGAAGTCTGGGGCTGATCCCCGGGGGCCAGAAGGGGGCCTGGGAGAGACAGAAGGAAAGCAGCAAGCGCGTCCTCCAACCTGTAAGGGAAACCCTGACTTTTTTTGTTCTGAGAGGAAAGCCCCACGCTTAGCACAGAGTGGCCCACCTCTCCAAGGGTGAAGCTTGGATTCCAGGCTGCCAGTGGCACTGGGTGCGCAGTGGGTCCCAGCTGAGCACTCATCATAGTCAGGCTTCTCTTCATCCTTGCATAGCTGGCTGGGCCTGGAGGCTGACCCTGGCCCTTCGGGGTCTCAGGGCAGGCAGTACTGGGGCGTGAGAGGCTGTAGTCTTGGCTCTCTGGCCCCACTGAGACTATCTGATGGTAGAGGCCATGAACCAGACCTTGGGAGCTATTTCTAAGAAGACACCTGCAGCCCCACTCCAGCTCCTGTGACCTAGGAGGAAGAGCTTTGCAGGGACCCTATCCTCCAAAATAAGGGTCCGCAGACTTTCTAATAATCTCCCTCCAAACAGCACAGCCATGTTTCAGTCTGCGTGTGCTTCCTCTTTCTTTTCTCTTGGCCTTTTTTTCGGTATCAAGAGAACACGCTCTCCCCTTCTCTCTCTCCATTCTCTCCCAGCCCCTCTCCCGCCCCTCCATATCCCACCTCCTTTTTGTTAGCCTAATATGGGTTCCTTTAGAATTGGCCCTACTTCGGCAGCCCCAGCGCTGTGTGCGTGTGTGTGCGCGCGCGCGCGCGTGTGTGCCTGCGCGTGTATTTCTCGCTTGCTAATGATTGTGTGTTGATAGAGTGATGCAGTGGCCTCATTAGCCTTTGTTTAGAAGGTGTTAAAAGGGAAATCTGCATCGGGAAGCGGCGGTTTACACAGCAGCTCGGCTGAACACCGCGAGCCAAGGGGCTGGGGGGCGGGGACAGTGCCCACCCCCCAGGCGCCCACCCTTCCCCCAGGCGCCCTCCGCCGCGGACCCCGGGAGGCAGGAGGGGTCCGGGGAAAGCGACCCCAGCTCCTTCCTCCCAAGGCGAGTATGTTTACCCTGCTGGGCACCCTTCTGCTCCACGGGGACCACTGCGGGATCGCGCTCTCTAAAACTCCTCTGAGCTGCCGCACAGTGCGCGGCGGCCTTTTCCGCCAGGTTTCTTGGGGAGGGGGAAGGGGAGGACAGAGTGCCGTTTCGAAGAATATTCCAGGGGTGTTTTTGAGGGTGGGGGGTGAGGTATCTTATTTTAGAGGCAAATACAAATCAGTCCGCAGAAACTGGGGTCTTTCGGGTGGTTGGTTGGGGATGAGCTCCCTGTACCCCGATGCCCATGTGGGGTCCCCAGGCTTTAGGGAACCTGCGAAGAGGTCTCTTTCTTTCCTCCTAAGGCATTCGCAGACCGCCACAGGAAGAGCCTTCCGTGCGTAGGCAGGGGTTGGAGAGGGTTCATTCTTAAACTTACTCTCTCAGGTCTACCCCTACCCTAGCGCCCCACTTCGGGAAAAAATTCTGTGAGAATAAAATCATAGCTAGGCTGGCCTACTTCCCTAAAGCTTGGTGGAAGCGAGTAACTTTATTGAGTCTGGGCTAGAGGGTGTGTGTTTGTGTGTGTGTGCTGTGTTTGTTTACGTATATGTGTGGGATTTGGCGAGTGAGCTTCGTGCACGGCATTTTTCACCCTCTGGCAGAAGCGAGATTTCGAGCAGGGTTGAACGTGAGAAGAATTCCTTTTAACCTGGCTCCTACGAAAGGAACCAGAAAAAAAAATAACACACATTTTGAGCAGCCTCTGTGGGTGCAGCTTGTTGAACTCGGAGCCAGACGCTTTTCTTGGCGAAAGGGAGAAAAAACGCCGCGGAAACGGTGCGGAGGGTTGGGGAGTATGGGTTCTGATTGTAACATAATTCAGCAAGCTTTTTTGTTTTTTATTTTTCCCAGGACGCGGTTGCTTCGGAAGAAACGTTTTCTAATCTTTCTAGCTCCCTGGATTTGAGGTTGTGGGTCTTGGGGAGAGGCTTAGCTGGTCTGGGGGTCCTTGCGTGTCCACAGCCCCGTATAGGCACCCGCGAAACGTTCTGCATCGCCGCTTTTTTTTTTTTTTTTTCTTTTTTTTTGGTAGAAGGCGAGGCGTTGTTTGGGGACAGATCGCGGCCGGCTGGGGCCTCGGGCAGTGACAGTGAAACGAATTCCAAACCCATTCTGAACTCGCCATGGCCCTCTCCTGCCCCCCAACACCCACCCAAACACCGTGTAGGCAGAAGCGAGGTTCCCTGTGAAACCGAGTTATAATCGGCAGCTGAGATGCGGTGGGATGGTATCATAGCCGAGTTCGGAGGATGCGGGGAGAGAATAGAAAATTCTCCATCGTTCTGCTCTGCTCTCTCTTTCTTTCTTCCCTAAGCAGGTTTGCGGGAGAAAGCAGGGGTGAGCCACGGTGGCTGCCTGGCTGTGCACCGGGGCCGGAGGTTGGACCAAGACAAAGACAGGAGCTGTCCGCGGTGCTGAATCGGCGGCGCCGCCGCCGGGGCAAGAGGGCTTCTGTAACCAGCCCTCTGCTCATTCGCTCCCCATCCTTCTAACTCCCCTTCGCTCTGTGACTCTTGCCTTCCCCTGAATTTATTTCCCTTTTGGGGGGCTCACCTTAGGATCTGCGCCCTGTACACAGGTGTATATACATATATCAAAGAACAAAACGATTGATTGAAAACGGTGTCTTCTCCTTTCTTCCCAAATAAATGATGCTAGAAAGGTTTATTTTAACTGTACTCTAAAATGGAGAGAAACGGACATTTCCACTCCTAAATAAATGAAAATTCGTGTTAAAAACAATGCAACTAACCTATAACAAATGCCAAGAATCTGCCCTCTGATTTATTCCGATAAAGAGGCAAGGGGTTTAGAAATTTTAGTTTCGGGAATATCATATCCCTGGCATCTTAACTTCTTGGGTAGAAAAAATAAGAGCTGGAGGTGGGGGGGATTGGTGATGAACAGACTAAGGCACCTGCCTACGTGAAGAAAGATGGCTTGTGAAGGCCAAAGTGATGGACATGAAGTTGACTTAACCCTTTGAGACAGAGATGAGATCTGTAAGGATGTCAATCTTCAGGATCAGTAGTAAGAGGGAAGTGATTCCTTTGGAAAGTTTGGGTACAAAAGAGTTAATCTGGTGCTTAATTTTCTAAATGTTCATGGTGTTACCTAGACACCTGGCATGGTGCCTAACCAAGTGTGTTCCTGTGTTCAAATTAGTATGCAGTACTTGCCTAAATAAGTATGTGCAGGGTAGAAAAAAAATCACATTTTCCCTCCCTCGTGAGGGAGCACCCATTTTAGTGCACGGAGAGCTGTGTATGTTTCCTCTGGCATCTCATAGATACACTGTCTCCCACAGAGCCCAGATGCTTTAGGGCCACATCTTCATTTTGTCTTCTCAGCACCCTCCAGGCCTCCCCACTACAGGGGTGTCAGCTATGCCCAGTCGTTAGGATTGCCAATACATATGAAGGGGGAGGGGTACTTATGAGTCCAGTGGAATACAATAACTCCGGCTCCCTACCTGAACATTGTAGAGCTAATTTGCCCATAAAAGCAGAGGAACCAGAATTCTCAAACCCAAAGGATTTGCAATAAAGGGTTGTATCTTTGGGTTAGGGGAGTGAGACTCCAGTTTCTCCAGACCCTAACTCTTATCTTTTCATGTAAACACCCTTAGATCTTTAATTAGGACCAAGGTGGTCACTCTTTTGGACCATGCACCTCTATCGCTCTCAGAATGCAGAGCCACATGGTACTGGGAGAGACGTCTTGACCTTGGGTGTCTCTCAAACAAAAAAGATACATTTTGTTTAAAAACCATTTATTTCATGATCATTCTGCGCATCTGGTTCCTTGGTCTTCATTGCAAATCTAAAAATTAGTAGATATAGATCATGGTCCTATTTTATGGGTGAGGAAACTGAGGGCCCAGAAATGCTTATTAAGTTGCTTATAGGTATGCTGTGAAGGCCTGTGATTCTAACCCAGACCTCACTGGCTTTGGAGACTGTGCTTACTCTAATAACCCATGATATTACAGCCACACAGACGGTTACATTGTGGTTACAATGGTGTATATATATATATTTTTTAGCACAGTCCCATTGAATTCCCTGGACCTCATGGTCTGTGGTCTAGACTTGAATTTAGCTTAAGTCCTAAATTTGAAAAGAAGGAGTGAAAATGGTGAGGACAGAGGCTCTCATTTCATGTGGGTTGGGTGGGCATTTCACAGAATGGGACCAGCTTAATGTGAAAATCTCTTGGACCCACACTTAGGAGTCATCCTTGATTTCCCCTTTCTCTCCTGCCTCACATACAATCCACCAGCAAGTTCAGTTAGCTCTGCCTCCAAAATATATTCCAACCCATCTAATTCTCATCTTCTCCTCCATTATCACCCCGGTGCAAGCCACTACCATCTCATCTGTTTTATAGCAGTAGCCTCCTGACCGGGCTCCCTGATTCTTCTATCCTTGCCCTCGTCTGTAATCTGCTCTCCACACTATAACTAAACTTATATTTTAAAATCATAAATCAGGTTTTGTCATTCTGCTTTTAACCCTCCAACAACTCCCCATTGCACTTAGAATAAAATCCATACTCCTCACCCTGGTCTGCAGGGCTCCTTGTGATTGGTTTTTGCTCACCTCGCCCCCACCCCCGCTGTGGCTCACACAGACCTAGTTTTTCTCACCTCAAGACCTTTGCACTTGGCTTCCCCTCTGCCCTCAGATTCTTACACGGTTGGCTCCCTTTTGTCATTTAGATCGCAGCTCAAATGTCAACTCTTCGAAGAAACCTCTCCTGACCACCTTGTCTAAAAGCACACCATCCCCAGTCACTGTCTAGCCCTCCTCTCTGTCTATTTTCTTTGTAGCTTTTATCAATATCTAGAATTATTCTATTTATATGTTTAGGTGCATATTGTCTGTATTTCTTAATAAAATATCAGTTCCATGAGGGCAGAGAGACTGTGTTTGTCTTGTTCACTGTTGAATCCCCAGTGCCTAGCTCAGTACCTGGAACCATAGTTGTTCAATACATATTTGTTGACTGAATGAATAATGAATGAATACATAGAGAGAGCTACAGAAGTGAATGGAGATGGATGGGCAGAGCTGAGACAAGACTGAGCTTTATTTGCCCATCTTCTGAGGTCTGCAAATGGAGCAGCTGGCTGGGTGGGTTTCCAGTTTGGAAAGAGGATGAAAGAAAAGCTTGTCCAAGGACCCCAAGAGAGTGCAGTCATTGGGTGGATTCTTCGGACTAGATACAGAATCACATTGGGGTGGAGAAGCAGGTCTATGGCCTCAGAGCGTGATTTTAATTGTTCTTGCTGGATCTGAAATCTTCACTTAGTTACAAAAAAAAAAAAAAAAAAAAAAAAAAAAAAAAAAAAAAAAAAGGGTGATAGTGGAAAACACAACGAATCAAGAAGACATCTAAATTACACATTTTTTGGAAAGGTTACCAGTCCCATCTGTGGGGGAGCTGATGGAGTATAGTGTTAACACCCAGACTCTGGGACCCGGTGCTCCTATGTTGGAATCTGGCTTCATCACTCACCAGCTGTGCAACAGAGGGCAAGTCAGTTAGCTTCTTTGTGCCTCAGTTTCCACATTTGAGGGATGGGGATAAAAGTGTATACTGGTTTTTATGGCAGCCATCACATAAAAAAGGTGTATGTTTGTCTCAGAGAATAGCCACGAGGGATTGTTTTGGTCTGTTTTATTTGTGTTAGAGCCTTGTATAGGAGAAAAAAAGGAAGCAGAGTAGTAAGAGATGGGGGAAGGCAATGGAGCAAAGAGGCTGAGATGCAAAGGGGAAAAGATGAGACTTACTGTTTAAGAGCTCATCTCCTTCAAGAGCTCTTCTCTTACCTGTGGAGGTAGAAGAGGGCTCTGACGTTAGAGGAGCTGACTCAGAGTCCCAGTAGCTCCCATGCTAACCTGCTCATGAATGGCAGGTGGGAATGCCCAGCTATCCTGAATCTCAGTCTCCTAATCTGTTAAATGGGGCAGTAATGGTGCCTGCCTTATAGAGTTACCGGGATTATTTAGGGAGATGATGTTTGGGAAACTGGGAAGCACCCTGCAGAGTAGCTGGTGTTACTGGGCCTTGTTTGGGGGTGACTTTCTTTATTCTTTACAAAAAGAAGGTTTTTTTTTTTTTTTTCCCCCAGGTGAAAGTAAGTGCATTCATTTGGTTGGAACTTGAAATAGCTAGAGAAAGAAGGTGAGGGTTATCTTCTTGGAGAGAGAGGTGTAGAGAGCTATGTACTTGGAGTTATGAAAGGACCTTTCAATATCCAGTCCCAGGGCTGGGGCTGGCCTGCCTTCACACAGAGCTCATTCCCATAGGTTTTGTCTGAGCCACTGTCACCCTGCAGGGGAGCTTTCCTGTACATAACAGAAGCATTCTGCAAAGATGTGTGTCCATTGCACGTCTCCTACCCTTTACCCCTTGAACAAAACTCAATATGGGAAAGGGCTTGTGCTGGTACTGGGGGATGGTGTTTATAAAGGTAACTTAGAAACGTGCAAAGCATTCTCCTTCATTTGTTCATTTGGTAAACATGTATTGGACACCTACTATGTGTACCAGGGAATGTACTAGAGGCTGCAGAAGCCACTGTGAATGAGCACCTCCCACCCCCCACAAGCTGCTCATAGCCTAGCAGAGGAGACCTACACATCAACACAAATTTCTGTACATCTACACATTACTATGGATATCAGAGGAAGAAGGGCTATTTATTCATTTATTCACCAAAAAGTGTATGAACCTGGGTGCCTTTGGTTCAGTTATTCACTCTGAGGCTTACTTTCCTCATTTGTCAACCAGAAAAAATAATAATGATAAAAGAAACTAATAACCTCATGGAGTTGTTGGGAGGATTAAATGAGAAGACAAATGTAAGGCGCTTAGCACAGTGCGTGGCACAAGGCAAATGCCCAACTTGTGATGGTTTCAGTTAATTATTAGTGATGAAATATTAAGTAATAGCAATAACATTACAGACTTGTTGAATAGTTATTTGGAATGGATGCATGAAAGTGCCTTGTCTACAAAAAGCAATCAATACGTATTTACAGAATGAAATCCTGCTCTTATTAAGAAAAATAGGAAGGGGTGTGCCTCCGTGTGAAGGAGGAGGATTTGAGAGCTTCCTGGATCAGATCTCCAGGGATACTAATGTGATCTATTCAGGGTTAAAAAAAGTCCTTTTCTGCCCCTAAAGCCAGCAGGTACTTTTGCCTTTCCTGCCTCTTCTCTTTCACCTTCTACCCACCACTGTTAACCTATGTGTCTCTTTCCCCTTCCTGTGCCCTCCTCTTTTGGGAAGCTGCCTTTACACCAGTGGTTCTCACTGGGAGAGTAGTAAAAGGGAATTTTGTTTTCCAAGGAACATTTGGCAATGCCTAGAGACATGTTTGGTTGACGCAATTGAGTGGCGATGTTACATAGATAGAGGCCAGGGATGCTGCTCAACACTCTACAACATACAGAAGGGTGCCCCGCTCCTTCTGCAGCCCCAGAATTACTCAGCTCAAAATATCAAAAGCGCAGAGGTGAAGATAAGCTGTCTCACATCTTGTGGCTGGTAAGAGGCCCTGGTTCCCCTGCCCAGCCCCACTGAACGTCCCACCGGGAAGGGGGCGTGTCACTCCCAGCCAGGCCCCGCCCACTTCCCGTGAGCCAATGGGGATCCCTGGCTGGTCAGCGCTCCAGGGCCAGAGGCTGCATGGGCTTTTCCAAGAGGGCTCTCTCCTGGTGGGCAAATGTGAAAACCTCTCAGAGCCTGTTT